CAGGGAGGGCGCGGTGTGTGTGTGTGTGTGTGTGGGGGGGGGGGGGGTTATGCGTGTGGATGTCTATAGGCGTGGGCAGGTAGTACAAATGCAAACAATGAGAGACAGAGGGAATCAATACCAAGTGCGTCTGTGTGGGCTTCAGGTCATCTGCTCAGGTTTGAGTTACAAGTATGAGTGACGTAATTCTGAAAAAAAGGAGAAATGTTCAAAGAGATCTGAGCTGATGAGCTTCCGTGAGCCTGTATAATCCCAAGTGCAATAATTATGGGATACCAACGCGTTCCGTTGATGCGTCCGGGTCCTTGTTGTGAGTCGTGTTGCGTTCAGGGTGCAGCGTTTGGAGTCAGAAGGGTTCGGGTCCACAACACGGGTCTGAGGGCGGAAACAGCGCACACGCTGCGTCCTGTCGATGAAATCACTGAACCTCGTTCTGCTCCCACTTTTTTCCCTATAGTGTTCTTTCTCCCTCTTGTCTTGACGTAATGACCAGCATCAGGACTCTAAAGAGGCCGGACCTCCCGGTCCCACCTGTTGGACCCCGTTCTGGTACTCCGGGTTCTGGTGGCTCCCCGGAGCTGTTGGATCACAAACCCCTTCAGGAACCGGAGCTCTAGCTAATAGTTGGTGCACTTATCTGAGCTGTGGAAGCAGTTTGTTTTAGTTGCCATCAAGGCCACGTGACAGGAACAGGGTTCATGAATCAGTAGAGTCGTTTTACTCAGTATGAACCAAAATAAGCATCAGAAGAAAAAGATATTAAAAGGGAATGCAGGACTGTCCTCCGCTCATCCGGTGAGCCGAAGAAGGAGAATAGAATTTGAAATAGCTGGGGAAGAAAAGCAGAAGCACGTGGGCAGGTTCGTCTGGCTTTATTCTAAAATACAAAGTGGACCCGTCCGAAAAGAAGCATCTGAGCCAGTGAGGAGTCCAAATTCAGGTCTGGGAGAGGCAGTGGAGCTGACCAGGCGAGGACCGAGACCTGAAAGGGGTCATTTTCAGCACAGGCCGAGGGGGTGGGGGAAGGAGCGCGTGCACAGGGTGTGTGTTCTTTTTTGTTTTTTTTTGTGTCTTTTTTTAAACGATAAAGTGGTAGCTTACAACGAGCTCCACGCTGGGCAGTTCGCGTCCACTAGAGTGGCGTGATTGCTGGTGATTTATGGCCAGCTTGTAAAGTTTGATGTCTCTCTCCAAACGCTTGACGTCTCCGTAAAGATTGATTTGGCTGCACCTAACGGGGCACCGGAGTCCCAGCAGACCGCGGGGCTAACTGGCGTTTCGTACGGAGGGAAAAAAAAACAAAAAAACTCTTAGAGATGCACCGAAATGTGCGTGGAAAGTTCTCCCAGTGGATGAGTGTCCCGGTCCCCGTCCCACACTGACTTCTCCCGGGAGGAAAAACCAAACCCGACCAGGAGGTCCAGCGGGGCAGGTAGGTCTGTCGGGGTCCCTGACCCGGAGCCTCTCCTCCGGGGGCCGCGCGCCGCGCACCGTGGTCAGAAAGTCCTGAATTCTGTCCTGAGTGAACGTGGCCTGCGCCGCCATCCGCGCGCTCCGAACGCGCCGCCAAACGCCGTTTTTTTCCTGCTGTGTGTGTTGGTGTGTGAGTGTGTGTTGGTGTGTGTGTGTGGAGAAGCGTAGGACAGATGCCTCACAAAGGGACCAACCCCCCCCCCCCACCGCCCTCTCGCCTGCTCTTCCTGCCTACTTCCTTCTCTGAAAGGTTTACCTGTCCCGGGGAAAAGAAAAGGCTCGGACAGACGGGGAGCGGTGGGCTTGTTTAAGAGCCTGGCTGAGTTGCAGTAAATAGGGGCCGATGGCAGGTTGGAAGAGCAGGAGATGCGTGTTCACTTTGCTGTGATTTATGACGGTGTGAAAAGATGGCTGATTACTGAAGAATCCACCCCCCCCCCCCCCCTCTCTGAGCCCCTGTCCTGCCCCAACACATAACCCTCTGACACAAAGTTATAAAAAGACCCCAAAATCTGTTTAACTCACAGTGGACAGGAGTAAGACAACTACTTAAATTACAGTTTAAAATCTAAATTATTTAGAACTCCTCCGCCTATCAAAGCGTTATGCCATCCATGAAGCATTTAGTTTTACACTCAGCTAAAAGGAAAACCTCTGATTTTACACAGTGCAGCAGCGACTTAAACCGAAGGATGAAATAAATCAAAGACAGAAGGCATCACTGTAAGAGGAGCTTCCAAACATGTCTGTCACAATCCATCACACTGGGGTAATTAGCCATCATAGTTCCTGTCAGGCCATCAATGCTGGGGCTGCATGATCCCACAAATTAATAACTAACTTTTCTTTATTTGGACACATAAGCAAATAGTCGGAATACTGTGTGTGTGATGGATTATCACAGTTAAAAGATACTAAATGACTTGAGTAAATCCTTTAAAAATACAGAACTACTGATCAGGGGCACAATATAAATGGTTATTAGTTTATAAAGTAATTTTTTAATTAGCTTGTTTATTTTACATGATCAGCATGTTATCATTTTCCACTAAATTACAATATGCAAGTTAAATTCCAAAACCAGTTGTTGCCATGTGGGTGGATTTTCGTATTCCATTGCCAATTGAAAGCAGTTTTCTGAACTCCCCCCCACCCACATGCACATCCACAGAGCTGACTGTGAACAAATCCCTGAGTCTTGTGAAGACGGAGCCCCCCCTGTCCAGACCTAAAACTAGGACCCGGGTCCTCCTGTGGCTGGACCTGGCCTTGGGTGAGGACCGGGGGGCTCTCCAGGCTCGAGCCTGCTGGTTGGTGCTCAGCGCTGGCTGTCAGAGCCTGAAAAGCTCACAGTAACACCCACAAATATGGCATGGGATTGATTTTCCATACATCAGTGACAGGCTGCGAGCAGAGGACGGCCACAGGGAGGCGGGGGGGCCATGCCCGGCCACACCGTGGCTGTCTCCCAGGTCGGGCCAAAATCCATACGCCATCTTTCTTTAATTGTAACCAGCTTATAGGCATGTTGGCTCCAAGGCTAAGCAGCCTCATTATGTCTCATCCAGAGCCTCCGCCTCTGCTCCATAAAGGGAATATGCTGTTCAGAAAACGACCGGGCCGATAAGGGGGCTTCATCACAGCATCAGGAGTATTACGGCCTTTAAAAGGCCATTCACAGCAAGATCAGCCTCAGAGTAGGATAACAACAACGCACAATTTACAGCCCCGAGTCAACAGGCAATTGATTCAACAGGCCCAAACACTCAACAGAATATTTCACCATTTCTGCTTGATATGTGCTAAAGTTTGGGGGGAAAACAGAAACTCTGAATACAGCAGCCCTCCACGTGTAAATGTGGTCAGTTCAGCGGGTGTCTGGACACCAGCGTCCAGCCCTGCAGCCCCCAGCTCTGTGCGTGCAGTCCCCTGACACTTTTGGTGATCTGGGCTGTTTCGGTGGCCCAGGAGCAGGAAGGACAATCTGACCTCTGTCCCAGAGCCCTCTGTGCACGCCCCGCCCCGGCCCTTCTCTTTCTTCTCCCTCGGCCTTTTCCTGATGTCAGGGCTTCCTTTGAATCCGTGGTTAAAGATTAGCATCTCTGATAAAGATTAACCCCGTGTCAATTGAATGAGCTGAAGGAATGAGTGTGCTGCAGGACTGCTCTCACCTAAGGGGAGCCTGCCGGTGACCAGGTCACCCTGCACTCTGGAGGGGGGGGGGGGGGGGGGCAGATCATGTGGAGCAGCAGAGAACACATTCTGACCTGGAACTACATGTGACATCAGAAAAAAGACCTGTAGAGAGAAAATGTTGCTAGTGTAGATGATTGTGTTTCTCTTTGCACACACAGGATGATAGATGTGCTAGGGGGGGGTAGCTCTCCACAGTACGACATGGCAGAGATGCATTTCTGACTGTTGTGAATGAAGAACCCACAAAGCAGGTCAGTGTTTCTCAGGAAAGCCTCCCGATGAATCCCCGAAACATTTAACACACTGAGAAGATAGAAATGACTCAGTTTCTGTGTGTGAATTTGAGCGAGCTGGCCAAATGAATATGCTGAATGGTGGAAATCGCATTAAAGACGCGGCTGCTGCAGGGACTGATTTAATTTTGGACTGATTCTAGTTTTCAAACGTATCCTTGTC